TCTGAATGCTATGAAGTTCTGCAAGAAATGGCGCAAGCACAAGGAGGAAGAACGGTTGTATGTTGCCTTTGTTCGTCCTACTCAGTGCCATCTACTTTTGCGGTTAATACCATTACTACTTCATCTAGTGATACTACTTCTAGTAATACTACTACTAACACCTCTACTTCTCTACCTCCTACTACTCCAAATGATCCCACTTCAGACTCGGTTGCCTCTATTCGCGACCTGCGACCTGATTTAAGTGATCCATTTGCTGATCCTCCACACCCACCGGTTCCACTGAACATCCAAAACTTACTCGATCGATTCCCAGAAGTTCTGGCCGAGCCATGTGGAGTTTCCACGCGATCGGTCTGACACATCATCGAGTTGGTCGAGGGTGTTGTTCCTCCAAAGGGTTGCGTGTACCGTATGGGACCCGGCGAGTTGGAGCAACTCCGGCGACAGATTGACGAAATGATTAACAAAGGGTGGATCAAGCCTAGCGAGTCTGAATTTGGTGTTCCTGTCTTGTTTGTTCCAAAGAAAGGAGGCAAGCTCCGTATATGTATAGACTACCGCGGCCTAAGCAGCATCACAAGTAAGAACGCCTATCCATTACCCCAAATAGATGACTTGCTTGATGCCGCAGGTGGGTGCAAGGTCTTCTCCAAGATCGATCTCAGGTCTGGCTACCTCCAGATTGAAGTCGAACCTGCGGACCAGCACAAAACTGCGTTCAAAACACGCGATGGGCTTTATGAGTTTACCGTAATGCCCTTCGGTCTCACGAACGCACCGGCCACCTTCCAAAGCCTCATGGACAAAGTCCTTCGCGAACAGATTGGTCGGTTCGTGGTGGTCTACCTCGATGACATACTAATCTTCAGCAAGTCCATGGAGGAACACCTTAAGCACCTTGAGGAAGCACTGACCATCCTCAAGAAGACGCAACTCCATCTCAACTTAGAGAAATCTGAGTTTGGGAAGGATAGTGTTATCTATCTTGGGCACCGGTTGTCTGCTGCAGGCCTAGAGCCTGAGGCAACCAAGGTGGAGGTCATACCCAATTGGCCTCAGCCCGTGAATGTTCGCGAACTGCGTTCTTTTCTTGGTCTCGCGTCATACTATCGGAAGTTTGTGCCCCGCTTCTCCATTGTTGCGCGTCCATTGTCTCGACTGACAAGTTAGAATGCTTCCTATTCTTGGGACACCACGTGCACGAACGCCTTTCAAACTTTGAAAGACGCCTTGGTAAGTTACCCAGTACTCCTCATTGCCGATCCTAAACTGACATTCGTAGTTACTACGGATGCAAGTCAGTATGGAATCGGCGCAGTGCTGCAGCAAGATGACGGCGATGGCTTGCGGCCGCTCGAATATTACAGCAAACGCATGCCCAACAAAAAGGTAGCCACTTCCACCTACGTGCGCGAGCTCCATGCTCTGCGCATGGTGTTGGATCATTGGAAACACTACCTTTTGGGACGCCACTTCATGGTATTCTCAGATCATGAGACCCTGAAGTGGATCAAACAACAACCTACCTTGTCCCCTACCTTGCTTCGCTGGTTTCACGAGATTGACATGTACGATTTTGAATTAAGATACAAGAAGGGTTGTTATAACCGAGTAGCTAACGCTTTGTCTCGCCACCCTGAGTACATGACTTGCCTTGTGAAATCCTACGACCTCCGGAAGAAACTGAAGGAGGAGCTCGTAGAGCACACAACCAAGGATCCGGAGCTTAGTCCCATCCTTGAGCGGCTGCGGGTTGACCCTAGCAGTCAACCTAATTTTCACAAGTATGAGGGACTGGTTTTCTGTCGCTACGGGAAACACGACCGTTTGTGTGTGCCCAACCATAAGCCTCTCCGCACGCACTTTCTGGATTTGGCTCATGGCCGGAGCGGACACTTCGGCATGGCAAATACGTACGCAAATCCGTTGCGACAGTTTGATTGGCCTGGCATGAAAGGGACTGCTGAAAAGTTTGTGGCTGAGTGTCAAGTCTGTCAACGAATCAAACCATGCAGCTAAAAGCCCATGGGGCTACTCACACCCCTTCCCATTCCCGATGGTCCCAGGGAGTCCGTCTCCATCGACTTCACCGACATGGGACATGTAAGTAAGAACGGCTACTCACAAGTCATGGTGATTGTTGACTGATTCTCTAAGTTTCTCAATCTGATCCCTTTGCCGCCGCACGCCCCAACATAATTAGTGATTCATGAGTTCCAACAGAAGTACAATCTCCAGTTCGGGACCCCGAAGACTCTCGTAAGCGATCGGGACCCGCGCTTCATTAATACTAAATGGAAGGACTTCACGTCTCATCTGGGGATCAGGTTGTGTATGACATCTGGCCGACAGCCTGAAGCCAACGGTTTGGCTGAAGAAATCAACCAGACAATGTTCCAACTTCTCTGCGCTTTGATTATCCCGGATCAGGAAACATGGGATGAAGAGTTGTATTCCGTTAGGGGGTTGTACAACAACTCCATCCATTCTGCCACCGGCATGACACCTAAAAGGCTGCATCTCGGTTGGCAGATCCGTAATCCGCTCTCCTACCTATTCCCTGAGCAGCCAGCTGGCTTAACACCCGGCAGGCCTGGCTTCAGGGCCAAGTATAATCGCTTGCTCAAGGTTGCCCTTGCAGCCATGACCAAGCGACAACATGCCATGATCCATCACACAAGCAACAGGCGCTGACCGTCGGACATTCAGGTAGGAAGCTATGTCTGGGTCAAGATGTCTGAATTCTCAGAAGAAGAAGGGGTCTCTTGCAAACTTCTCCCACTCTATTACGGACCGTGGGAAGTTTTGGATGTGATTGGCGAAGACCACTTTGGCCCTTCGTACGTAGTTGATGTGCCAGCCCATCTGCGCACATACCCCGTGTTCCATGCATCGAAACTGTACCTCCACTGTGATGCTAAGACGTTCGACTATCGCGAAGACATGATCCCTCGTGTGATCAAAGGCGGGCACGAGATAAACAGAATCAAACAACGCGTGGGGAAGGGAAGCAACAGACAATACCAGGTTCACTTCATGTATCACCCATTAGACGATCTGTACTGGATTTCCAAACATGAACTACTACGAAGTGCACCGCGTGTTGTCAAAGCCTACGAGCGACAAATTGCCACTAGCGCTGTACCTAAGATCTCTGCAAGGCTCACTGCAACAGAGTACTCTAGGAACCTCTTTGCCTTGCTTGCTTACGATGCGTTTGTCGAGGACTCAGAATGAGTTACTCGCTCGAAGGGACCTCGCTCTTGAGGGGGGAGTAGTGTGATGACCCGTCCTAACATGGACTGAAACACACGACTGATTTCTGAGTTTTGCCCATAGACTGAATGCCTTGCTGAGTTTCCCGCCTGCTACTAAGTCTGTTTGTGCACACTTGCTGGGCTGCATGTCTGTCTGAGTGCTGGTTGGCTTGAGTGTGTGTGTGGCCGTGCCTGTCTGAGTGCTGGTTGGCTCGAGTGTGTGTGTGGCCATGCCTGTCTGAGTGCTGGTTGGCTTGAGTGTTCGTGTGGCCCGCAAGGGCACTTGCTCGTTCATTGGGCCCTCAGGGCC